TGGAATCAAGGCACTGACTTGGAACATCTCTCTTAACTTGTCCTAGTACCAGAATTTCTCACCAGTTGATTGGTATTTGGAGAATAAAGTGTAGCTTTAGATTATTGTGTGTATCTTCCTAAGGAAACACGGTGCACATTAAAATGAACAGCATCACATAATCACCAATTCAATCAGCATTTCCTTTGACCACCTTTGAGGGGTTCAAAGACCGGACCTAGATGTTTTGATGACTCTGAAAGATAAACCACCTTTAATTAGATCCATTACCTGGAAATAACCAAAGAGAATAGAGGCTAGGAAAATGTTTAACTGGAAAGAATTAAGCACCTTCAGATAATATAGGTAGCCTCCTAGAAAGGCTGCGTAGTCTCATATGGTTTAACATTTGGAACATTAATGATGTGAATTTTAAACTGAGGTGATCAAGCAGAGACCTTGTGGAACAACAGAGCAGATTTTTGCGACAGTGATTCTTTTCAATGTTAATAACATTCATATTTGTAAAGCACCTTACAAACTTGGAAACGTGTTCACACATATATTCTCATAAAGCAACTTGGAAAGTTAAAAAAAAGCACAAAGGAGAAAAGACATGACTCAGTTCTGATGCCAAAATCTGAGATAACCAATGTTCATATTCTGGTGTGAAGACAAATATTGATAAAACTGAGATGCTGAGAGTTACCACACGATAGGCAAACCATTGCAAGGGAACTATTGCAGTTATTATTTTCCCAAGATTTTCCAGTGTATATGCATTTTTATACCCACAGACACTCACACTATTATCACTTAGTATATTAAACATTTTGCATATTGATAAATATTCTTCTGTAGCATGATTTTAATTAGGTAAAAATTTTCCATTGTATAGATGTGCTATAATTTATTTACCAGCTTCCTCTAGTTCTTTCTAATATATCACTATAATAAATAATGCTATGGTTCAGAACTTTATATGTAAACTTTTGTACATAGCTATGATAATTACCTTAGGATCAATTCCTAGATGTGAAATTAATAAGTCAAAGGATATTTATACTTTTTAGACTCGGGATAAATCTATTTCCTGTAAGATTGTAGCTACATGTTCAGACTTTGAAATGCTACAAACCCTAAGGTTCGAGTATGACTTTGGAGTTCTTTTCCATCCTTGTCACTCACCTTACCTTCTGCTTCTTTTTCTAAATATTTTGTTCCCTGACATTCAATTTTTTGTCCTGTTTGTGTTTTTTCTTGGTCAATTTCTCACTTACTGGTTTTACCCACTGATTAACACCAGGGGTTAATGACTCCAGGATTAATATCTCCAGCTTCTCTCCCTCTTCTGTTGCATTTCAGTTGTAATATGTGTCAATTTGAACTAGGTAAAGCTTCCCTCATACCACCCTTACTCAAATCAGAAACTTCAGTGTTATCCTCAGTATGGATGAGAGAAGGCACACACCACCCCTACAGAATAAATAATTCTTTTGGAGAAGTACCACAATTTTTGGAAACAAGACTCTCATTTATTTCACTGGCAAACAGCCTAAGGTTTGTTTTTCTCACCATCAGCCTCTCAATCTGTCTCTCTTATTTCTTTCACTCACAGCTTGTTCCCTTCTTGCCATGACCCCTCCCCTCAGCTGCTCCCTATTTCCCAGAGAGGTTAGACAGGGGCTACCATTGACCCAGAGTTGACAAAGGCAGCTGTGCCTCCTGCTCAGTGGTGAACCTCAGCAAAACAAAGCAGACCCTGCCATTCTAGCAGTGCTCCGGCGGGCCTGACCATAGATTACACTTCTAGAACTCTCTAAAGTCCACTTCTGTCTCTTTATGCTCAGGAGCATTGCTGAAGTTCTGATTTTATCCTTTGGGAGAAGGGAAAAAATCACTTTGTTCTTTTGGAAGATATCTGTGATGGATATGTTTGTTATTGTCTGGCTTCCTTTGATCCAGACTCCATTCTTTCAAGACAGTTATTCTGAGACTTCTCTGATAGGGAAAAATCAAAGTAGTACCTACCTCATGGTGTTGTTTTTAATAAGTGTATGAGATAATGCACGGGAAATGCAGACCTCATTGCCCAACACTGCATAAACATCTGGTAATTGTTAGTTTATCAGCGTCATTGCTGTCATCTTCTGAAAGATCCACTTTATTTTTTAAAAAGAATTATTTATGCATACAAGAAGTGGGGTACAGGCCAGATGTGAGGGGTGAGAGGATTCACCAAAGACAGAGTGGGGAACAGAACAGAAGGATTGACTGAAATACACTGCTGAGGGGAGCAGCGGGCAGTCAGGAGAGGTCTGCTGTGCCATGTGGGTTGCTTCCTGGCTGGCTGGGGATCGAACTCATGCTGCAGTGGCTGCAGACAACCTCATACGTTGCATCTTAACCCCTTGAGCCACTAGGGAGGTCCTGAAAGATCCACTTTAAAGGGTCTAAAGATGCTTCTGACTTCCTATGCAGAGCCAGTTGCTTACTTTTCTGTCATGTTTTGAAATTCTTTACTTGGACACATAAATTATCTTAAGCATTTCTATCTCCACTGCGAATACCTCAAGGGTATTATTGTTTGAATTCATTTTTATATCCTCAACACCCAGCCATATGTCTGACATACAGGAGGTGATTAATAAATTTATGTTGGGAAAAGACAGTGGATGCATGATTTATGCCCATGTTTGTGTTTGTGTTTTTCTCTACCAAATTTTTGGATTTCTCAAAAATCAGTTCATGTATTTCACCTTATTAACAAGCTAAAAAAGAAAAAAATCACATGATATGAGACCACGTGATTAAAAGGCACAGAATTTTAAAGCAAAATTACAGTCATGTGTTTAAAAAAATCCAAACCACTAGAGATAATATATTAAAATTAGTAATTGAATTTAGTATGATTGATGGATGCTAATACAAAAATCAGTTACATTTCCATATACCTATTGAAAACATTAGAATATAAAATCATACCACTTATAATAACATGTACTTTTTGAACACCAGGTATAAATACAACAAATTATATGTAAGACCTCTGCATGGAATAGTATAAAGCTTTGCTAAGAAAAATTTTAAGAGTCCTAAATAAATTGAAGGATGTTTGTGGACTGAAAGATTTGATTTTGTAAAGATGTCAATTCGCTCCCAAATTAACTGATTAATTCAACAGAACCCCCACCCCAAAAAATCTTAGCAGAGTATATGTGTGTTTGTGTGTTTAATGTTCACATTCATTCTAAACTTAATGTAGAAATGCCAAGGGCCAAAAATGGTCCAAACAATCTTAAAGAAGAAGGACAAAATTGGAGGACTTATTCTGTTGGATACCAAGAATTGTTATAGGACTATATTGATTAAGGCAGAATGGCATTTGTGTAAGGATAGACACATTGATCAATGTAGTGAGATAGAGGATCCAGAAACAGATCCAAACATATGAATACTTGATTAATTTTTAAAAAGAGGTACTGTGGGAGGTATTCCTCACACACTCCCAAATGAGGCTGAGTTAATTGGCCATTAAAAAAAAAGTATTAGTACTATACTCAAAAGTCATTTTCTTTGATTATAAATCTAAGTGTGAAATTTAAAACAATAAACATTCTAGGAAAAGAATAGGAGAATATTTTCATGAGCTAGGAGTAGGAAAAGATTCCTGAATAAGACAGAAAAAAGCACTAAAAAAAGAAATTGGCATTGGTATAAAGAATAAACAACATCCGGGAAATGAATTTCTCAGAGGAAAATAAAAAATCCATATAAAATTAAATGTGTAAATTGCAATTTCAAATTTAAAAGATATATAGATTTTAACTTAAACCATGAATATTTGAAAGTGTAAAATATCTTTTTATCTCAATAACCATGATCCAAAACCTTGATATATTACTATTTTTTTTTTTTTTTTGCCTGTGTGGGCATGAGAGATTGATCTTTCAACTTCTCATTGAAATCAGTCATATTAATTCATTGACACCTTTGTAATAGCTCCTATAAAGCAGTTCTAATCTGAACACTTGAGGGCCTCCCTAGAGGCATAGGGGTTAAGTCTCACTGCTATCACACTATGACTGCTTTGGCCTGAGTTTGATCCCCTGCAGGGGAGCTAACCCACATAGCACAGCAGACATCTCCTGTCTCACCCGCTGTTCCCCTTAGCAGTATGTTTCAGTAAATCTGCCTGTTCTGCTCCCCACTCTGTCTCTGGTGAATCCTCTCTCTCTCTCTCTTTCTCTCTCTCACACACACACACACACACACACGCACACACGCACACACGCACACTCATACACACTCCCCGCACCTCTGGCTTGCACCCAAGTTCTTCTATGCATAAATAAATCTTCAAATGTGAACACTTGGTGTTAATATTATGTGGAGCACGTTACTAAATGTTTGATGCTGATAATTATACCTTTGCATAGATATAGTAGGTTATCTTCTGAGAATCTGTTCTAAAAAATATCCTCAAACCTCTACATTTATCTTATGTTCTGCAACTTCAATCTTTTGAATATGATTTTACAACATACACAATAAATTACTAGTGATAAAAATATAAAGTAGTAAAATTCAGATGGTAGCATGATAGGTTAAGTACTGTTACTAAAAGATGTGTACAATCAAAGAGAAATATTAATCACTGGTTTAATTAAAATGCTTTCCTAAAATGCTTAAATTACTCAGAGTGGAAACTGTTGCCAGATTTCAATCACAATTTTGTGATTGTGACTAAGACCGCTTTATGGCCACTTCTTATGTCTATAGGCATTGGGGAAGCTAATGTTGGCGTGGGGTATTTTTAATTGATTCATGTTTGATTGAATTCCTTGGCTTGTTCAATATGATATTTTAAGTGAAAGGGGACAGATGAGTGTATGCAATTAAAAATGATCATAATATGTTTTTTTAAAGTTCTTTAATATCTGTTATGGAGAGTTGTGAGCTGTAAATCAGAAATGGGTTGATAATATTTTATTTTAATTAACTGCTTTCTTGCATCGTAGGCTGACCAGATATCTGGTTTTCACATAAGATCTGTTCTCTGCGTCCCAATTTGGAATAGTGGCCACCAAATAATTGGTAAGATGTTCCCTTGATAGTTCAAACTTTTTTTATAAAGAAATACAAATTTCATTAAAATCACCCATGTCTTTTTTATGTGTTTCCTCATTTTATGTCCCAGAACTTGTCAACCTATGTCTCTTATATAATCTGATAAGTGTAGTCTCCTGATGAATCGACCTTAATCAGAACAATGAACAAATATTTATTACTTTAAATAATAACCAGTAATTTTGAGGTTGGAGGTAATCTCAGAAATTTCTTTTTCTTTTTTTTTTTTTTTTGTTTCAGACACTCCACTTTATTCACTGTCCTGTTTCTTCTTCTTTTTTTTTAAATCCTTTTTAACAGAATTTTCTTATCTTGCCTTATAGAAATTAAGGTGGCTTAGAGAGCAAATACTTGAAAAAGGTCACAAAGTTGCAGGGTCAAGATTAAAACTCAGGCCTTTCTGTTCCTTGTACAAACTTTTCCACTACATCTATATGTTTACATTTATGCTTTTACATGAATGCAAAACTGAATTATTAAACCAATAATAATTATTAGACATACACATCTTTCAGCCTGGATGGGTCTGAAGTAGTCTACACTTTCTGAGAATAAGGTAATTGTGGGCGGAGGCAGCTCAAATTTTTCTCTCTCCCTGATCCTCTCCTTATCTTCAGAAACTCAGGAAAATATTCAACCTAAGAATGAAGTCTAGACAAGAAAAATTCAAGGGTAAAACAGAGAAGACATGAAGGATGCAGGTGGTAGTTAAATTTAGTGAATCACAAAAAAATGTGATTTTTTTTTCCCCCTAAAAGACATAAGGTAACTAATGCATCTGCCTCTTTTCTTCTCCCTAAGGTTGTCTGTTAAACTCTAAGCTACTTACTAAAGAGTTTCGTATTCTACAAATGTTGGCAATACCTCAGTTTTAAAAGAATTTTTTCATCAGCTTTCTTAATTTGCAAAAAAAAAATTGGTACTTGATTGAACATGAAGAATATTCTAAGACTTGGGGTTTGAGCCCCTAATATAAAGCTTTGAATTGTATCACGAATAGAGTTGTAGACATATTTGAAGGAGAAGGTAAAGCCTGTAAGAAACACCATAAATTATCTGTTGCTATCCAGTACAATCTCACATACAGTCCTAACTTTCATTCCTAATAGTAAACATTTGTTACTATTTCAAAATTCAGACTTATATTTGCCTGCTACATGTAAAAATCTTTGCTCTATATTGCATATATCTTGTAGTATTTGATGAATTACCTCCCCAATCGAAAGTTAGGTGTTTTAAAAAATACAATCATGCTTTAATAAAATAACCACTATTTTTTTTGGGGGGGGGTTGTATTAATGAGACACAGGAGAATAGTTTTCAAGGTTGTTAAGGTTTTTTTGGTTAGATTTGTGTGTTTTGATAGTCATAACCCAAGACATGTTATAATGCTAGAAATGAACTTTGGAAAGAGGAAGCACATATATGTTAAGTCTGTTGGAACTATATACACCCTGCCGAGAGTGCACAGCAGAGCTCACCTTGCATTAAAGGCTAACTGTATCCTGGTGCCTAACATTTCTTGACTGTAATTCCTAACTTTTCTGAAATATTCACTCTGAGTGGAACAGTATTATTAACATTCAATTTTGCTTCATCCTTCTCTGAGATAGTTAACATTTCCGTTTCCATTTTACAGATGAGGAAATTCAGTACTAAAAAGGTTAGGTAACTTGCGCAAGGTAACTCTGCTGATGGTGGATTTGAAATTTGAACTGGGACAATCTAACTCCAGAGCCTGTGTTCTTAATCAGGATGCATAGTGCCTACTTGAACATTGTGCTTTGAGGGAATTAAAAAAATAGAAAATTATCTTTATGCACCTATATACACAGTTGTATATATCATGACATATGTGTGTCTATGTGTATGCATATATGCCAGATGACTGATAAGTTATAATACACAGCCATCTTGAAAACTATTTTCTGAGAATCAGACTTATGCCTGGTAGAACTCCAGGCTTCTCTGAGGCCCAGTCTGGACATCTCAGCCTTACAGGCAGGCCTCAGCCCTGCTCTCAGAGACAGGAGGCACTAGAGACAAAGTCACTGTCTGCAAAGTTGCTTTCAGGAGGCCTAGAATCAGCTGGGGCTTGCAATATTGTAGTAACCCTTGTCCAGTGCTGAAAATGACTGCATTTCCCCAATTCTTCCCACAGGAGTGGCTCAAGTGTTAAATAGACTTGACGGGAAACCTTTTGATGATGCAGATCAAAGACTTTTTGAGGTAAGAAAATAAATCAGTGAACCTCAGCCTTACAGTTGTCTCCTGGTTCAGGTTTGCCCAAATTTATAGGAATAAATAATTATTAATGATTGCACTTAAACAGTAGCAAAATTTAAAGGCTATAACAGAGCTTCGGTAAGATTTGATTCTTTTTTTCACTTAGTTCTATTTTTTAACCATTGATTATATTTGTCCTAATTTTATTAGAGAATTGAATCTCCCTTTAGTTGCCTTATCCTTGTCTTGTTCGTATGTGTTCACAAACACAGCCAGCTCTGCCAGCTGTGTGGCCATCACAACTCTAATACTTGGTAGCTAATGTCAGGCTGCCCTCTCTCTGGAGAGGTTCATAAGCAAAGGTTTCCTGGTAGACGATCCCAGTCACCAATATGAAACCCCATGGTTATTTTCCTCTAGTTTAGAAAACCTCACAACTTCTGTGCTAATTTCTTCACTAACTAGTACCAACTGATACTAAAGCCATCTTCCTCCCCATTAACAGTTACTTTATGGGTACACTCACTTGGTTTCTTTACACAAATATTTTATAGCCTTGCTACTGAGTGAGGTTACTTTTTTAGAAACAGAATGAAATGACTAAAATCAGTCCAAACCCAAAGAAGTAAGGAACACATTAAGACAGCCTCTATGTATGTTTTTAAATATGTGGAAACGTTTCTTTACAAATTAAAATGTTTTCTCATATGCAGTGTGAGCTATAAAGTTGTTGTATGGCTTTAGTAATTAAGGATTTTAATGGGCACATTTCCCCAAGGCCCACCTTTGTGTCCTATAAAATTATACTTTCAGATCCATCCCTGATGACTGCTGCTTTTATATTAGAATGTGTCAATGAGTTATTACAATTTTTTAATTAGCGGGCTTGTTCTTTCCTAGGCTTTTGTCATCTTTTGTGGCCTTGGCATCAACAACACAATCATGTATGATCAAGTGAAGAAGAGCTGGGCCAAGCAGTCCGTGGCTCTCGATGTAAGTGCAGTATTTGTCATTATTGTATGCTAAAAAGTCCTAATTTTGTGAGCATAAAAGGTCCTTGTTATGGGACTGACTTTTTCAATTTTTAATTATCTATTCATTGGATCTTAATCATTTTAGAGTCATGGGTTTGAAGTTGATGAAAGTTTGAGACCCTCTCTGGAAAAACAAATGTATGCCCATAATTTTGCATATTATTTCAGGGAGCAGAGATTTATTGCAGCCATCCATATAAGTTGCAGTTAGATGTAGATTTTAAATACTTAGTTTATTAGAAGTGATGACTCAAGAATAATTTGTCAGAATTTTAAACAAATTATGGACTTATTTTGAATATGCATTAGATATTCTAGAAAGTCACAACTTTTCTTAGCATAGGAGAAAACCTCACTGTGAAGACATGTGACCCAGATAGGGAAGGGGCTCCTGTCATTTTCCAGCTCCCCTCAGGGGTGCTTATACAGCACCTCCCCTCAGACCCTCTAAGTCCTGACAGAATACTTGTCTTCTCCCCTCAATCCTGACTTTCAAAAACAAAGATCTATTTCCCCCCCAACTTCTGCTCTATAGCTATTATGAATATTTTTATTTATATCCATGAAATACTTATCCTATGGGGTAGAAAAGAATGTCAGTATATAAAGCATTATAAAGAATAGTGTAATACTTGCACAATCTTCACTCTTCTGTGCACTGAGATAGTGGTAGAAAGAGAAAACCAAGGGAGAGGATAAGAGGCAAGTCAGTGGTATCTGCTGAGGTTTAAATGACAGAAAATTACAGTTTCGTGTGTATATGCTTTTCCCCCCTAACTAGACCATGAGATTTGGAAGCACAGGGATTTTTTAAAATTAATTTTTATTTATTTATGCATACAAGAGCTGGGGTGCAGGCCAGAGGTATGGGGTGGGGTGGGGTGAGAGGATTCACCAGAGACAGAGTGGGGAGCAGAACAGGTGGATCCACTGAAATACACTGCTGAGGGGAGCAGTGGGAGAGAAAGGAGAGGTCTGCTGCTGTCTATGGGTCAGCTCCCTGGCCAGGGATCAAACTTATGTTGCAGTGGCTGCTGATAGCTTCATAGCGCTGAGACTTTAACCCCTGTACCACCAGGGAGGTGGGCACAGGGATTTTTACCTTGTTTGTGACCTTATTCATAGTACCAACTAAGGTGTTTAACAGAGACTATTTTTATTGAATGTTTTTTGGATGGATGGGAAAATGAGGGAAAGAAGGAGAAAGGCAAGCATGGAAAGGGTTATTTTGTTCTCCATCTGAGATAGTCCTGTTTTATTTGTAACATCTTTACACTAAGGACTAAAAACAATACTCTAAGATGAATTAATAGCTAGATGAATGCAAACATGCAGCCAACCAATAAGAGTCATCCGTAGAGCTTGAAGACACCGTGTGCAGAACCATTTTCAAATCCAGCTCTGTCATCCACCTCAACTGTGAGCATTAAATGAGATGATGTCTGTGAAGATATTAATACACAGTCAATAAAATTATAGCAATAGCAATAATAACTATGTTACCACTTGTAGCATATGTATTACTAAGCGATCACCACAGGCTGAAGGGAGAGCAAAAGGACAGGAATTTGGAACAGCAAATGTTGAGTCACACCTCATCAAACTCTGGTCTTCACAGACTTGCTCACCCACCATCTCTTAATGTTTTCAATTATAAAAAGAAATACACACTGTACACTAGTAGACCCTAAACTTTACTTCATGTTGTCAGAGTGTAAATGACATACATACTAATATTCTCACTCCTTACCTACTTCTCAGTGGCTCCTCATCCTGTTGAGAAGGGGCTGCACTAACTGGGTTGAAGCATGAAACGGCCTTTTAGCCCTGAAAGGTACTCTCAGGGCCCCAATTCCTAATCCCTTCCCCACCCTAAGGACCCACAGTTACCATCCCCTAGTGTTAATATAACCCCATTCTCCTCAGCCACCTCAGTTCATAGTGAACACCATCTTGTTGGTGTAACTCAGATGCCTTCCATCCTCAAACACAAAAATTGTGACTGACATGCCCAAATTTCGAGGTCCGGCTGAGAATTGTGGCAGTCACACCCTTCCAGAAGTTGACATATTTATATGTGCTGGCTTATATATACTGTGTGCTTGCTTTGGTGCCATTGTTGAAATTGGTAATCACAGTTAGAATTCTGCTGTTGTCCCTCTCACCCTCACCCAACCTGTACCCAACTAGACTCAACCCAGGTATTCCTAACTCTGCTGAGCACATGGTGCCCACCCCATGTGAGCCATAAACAAGAAGATTTGGGAGGATTTCTTAGCTCAGGAGTTTTTTTTTTTTTTTAAGATTTATTAATTTATTTATACAAGCACTGGGTACAGTCAGAAGCACGCAAGGGTGAGAGAATCCACCAGAGTCAGAGCAGAGAGCAACGTAGGCAGACTGACGAAGTACACTGCTGAGGGGAGCAGCGGGCAGGGGGAGAAGTCTGCGCACCATGTGGGGCCCTCACCCTGTAGCCGGGGATACAGGGTGCTACAAGCTACAAGCTGCTACACCCTGTAGCAGCTTCGCAACCCAGCGCTCAACCGCTGTGCCACCAGGGAGGCCCTTAGCTCAGGAGTTTATGAAGACAAAACATGATTTGTTGAGAGCTACTCAATCCAAGCTCTGGAATGATATCTACAAATGTTATAACGTACATTAACTTTGGAATGTATAAATTTTAAATTTATATATATGTAGACATTATACATGAGCATGAACAAGTGTAATATTTATATATTTCCATTAAAATTTTATTAGAAGTATTTATATATATGTATTTATAACCAGCCTAGTCCAATAAGTGATTTCAGCTACTCTATAGGAATATAAATAATCTAGCAAAATTTTAGCAAGACAAAGTAATATTAATAATAGTAATAATAGAGCTATTAGGGAGGAAGTTGGGGGTGAAGCTAGGGAGGGGAACAGAACCCCATGCAGTGCTATGCTTTCTCCCCAAGGATAACCTTGATAACCTTCCCTCCTTTTCCACTGTGGTTTAGGAAAAAGTCCCCACTCACATCTGACCAAATTCCTCATTTTGTATTATCTCATTTTTGCTTATTGTCTTCAGTTTTTATCCTACATGATCTTGTCCCAAGAAGATCTGTGTCTAAATGCATCTTTCTCATAATTTCATTGAGTGTCTTTTTTTCCAGTTGGTGACAAGAGTGGGGGGAAATAATCGGTCCCATAATCTCCACTGACAATAACCACTCTAGGGGTGTTTCCCTCCCCAGAAAGGGGACACACACAGTTCATAGGCCTGGAGAGGTAACATGAATACATTTGTTCCAGCATTTGCACAAGACCTTTGAAAGGCAACACAACATTTTCTTCTGTCTTTTAAAAAATTCTTGCTCCCAAGGTATTTTAAATACATATACCTACTTTGCACATACTCTGGAAGTAAATTCTCTGAGATAAATTCTCTGAGGTGGCTAACCCCCAAAGTACTCACCAATATGCTCAGATTTCACAGGCAGTATTTTAATACAGGTCTTGCTTCACATCAACATTGCCTGCAGAAGGTCCATCCTCGCCAGTGGTGGCAAAGGGAAAACCTTGTCTTTGGCATCTGTGTAATTAGCCTGGGTAGGCAATACTGGTTCATTCACCTGTTGATTTGGGGCAAGCTGCCTATCCTCTTAATTTCAGTTTTTTCATATGCTAAGTGAACATGATAAGAAAGTGTTTTTTTGTTTTGTTTTGTTTTTAAGATTTATTTATTTATACAAGCGCTTGGTACAGTCAGAAGCGCAGGAGGGTGCGAGAACTCACCAGAGACAGATCAGGGAGTAGAACAGGCAGACAGACCAAAGACACTGCTGAGGGGAGCAGCAGGCGAGGCAGGAGAGGGCTGCCGTGCAGTGTGGGGATCTCCCTGGCTGGCCGGGAATTGAACCGGTGCTGCAGAGGCTGCGGACAGCTTCACAGCGCAGTGCTCAACCCGCTGCGCCACCAGGGAGGCCCAAGAAAGTTTTTTAACAGTTAAAGGTTAACTATTTGGGAGAATGTTTAGTTAACACTTAATGAAAGTTCACTGTTCGTTTAACCACAGCACTTGGTGTGTCTTCTGTACCCAATTTTATCTCTTCTCAGTCCAAGATTTTCTGTAAGCCTGTGCTGATTCAGTCAAGGGCTAGTGAGACACAGGTTTCTCTCCTTTTTATCGAGAAGATCATCTCTTGCTTGAAGTTTGAGCTGAAAACAGATCCCTCATTTCCTAGGTCCTGACACCCCTGGGTGACACCAGCCAGCCTCCTAGCAGCCTTGTGATGGTAGCTCCTCCAGCATGCTGCTGTTCACTCAGTGCAGCCTGTGACTCGTGCTACGCTCTGTCTTTGCAGGAAAGTCCAGGGCATGGAAATTAAAATTCCCCATGTCAAAAACAGCCATGCAGGTCTTCAAAAGCTATGCATCCAAGACCAGGCACAGTGTCCAATAAGATCGGCCATCCCAGGAGGCCCCTTGCCTGTCGCCACAAACTGACAACTTAAGCGCATTCTAGCCATAATCCACACATGGTAATATAAACATATGTTCTCTACTCTTATGGCCTTTAAAAAATGAAGTGACTAATATATTATTTGAATTTTGCTTAACAATTGGATTATAAACTCAGTTATTTTGATGATTGCTTCTCTTAATTTCTCATAATTTAGTTATGTAATTCTATTGTTAAAGTCCTTTTTACTAAATTTATAAAATTAATGCTCTAAGACTCTTAAAGAGCAGAGATGCTCTTAAAGCTGAAAAATGGAACAGAGTGGAAATTACTATCATTTTTAATAACCTTAATTTTATGATCCTGATTTTCATTCTGCATGAGCAGCTAGGAGCTTCAAAGAACCACAGTAATGTATATTCACATTTTCTGAGCATAAGGGCCCAAAGATAAAAGGGGGAATTTTTACCTACAAGTTCAGAATACAACGGAAAATGCAATACAAA